TCGTTCGTTCGTTCGTTCGTTCGTTCGTTCGTTCGTTCGTTCGTTCGTTCGTTCGTTCTTACCATCCATTGTAAACGGCACCACGATGGGCGCCATGCTTTTGTTTTTTAATTTAAATTTCTTGGAAATGCTTCAATCAATACATTATTCATGCTAAGAAATTAGTGCTAGATGCTAGAACTGAAATTAATAAACAAATTTTTTTGTGAATTGAGACCAGCCATTATATTCATAAGCTATATCTATTTTATTCATACATACATTTTATTTAAATTAGTATGCATAATTCAGTATAATTTAGTAAGAAAAACAAGAGAAAAGAACGTGTATAGTTTGTTCATTAGGTATTTCTTTTGATTTGAGGATTTTTCTCCAAGGTTTCTACAGTTTGGCCCTCCTACGCAAACAATGTGTTAAATCGCTAATTCGATCTATGAGTCGGCTTTTCCTGACTTTGATCAGCCTAGAGGTTGTTTCGATTTGTTGTTGGATAAAAGTTAAAGATTGAAAAATGTAAAAGATCGCCCATCTTAGTTATTCCTAAATGTCTTAATATAATCCTTCTTATCCCTCAAATCTTAGAGATCCACATATGTTGATAAATTAATAAGCATATATAATTAGAATATGGTCTGAAATAAGACACTGGATAAGCTATTAGTTAGATTACCAAAGAGCAAAAAGGCTTGCGCAGGTAATAATGATTATAAGGATCGATTTTCTTTTTATTTAATGAATAGTACATAATAAACCTTTTACTGCTCGTAAAGTTGTTGTTTTACAATTACATCAATTTCTGAAAGTGACGGAAAACTCGTACCCAATAGCTACCTAATTACACTTTAATGAGCTTTTGTAAATACCTCGTAAAAAGAAGTCAATGATAAACCCTAAATCAATAATCCCTAAAGGTAAATAGGAAGAGTAATTTGTAAGTGATAATTGAAATCGTTTTCTCGAATGGTTGAGAATATTGCATGATGACCAACTAATTCCATATTTGTTAATCTACTAGTATATGTGGTAATAATGAGTTGGGGTTAATTCGCGGGGGCGAAAAAACAAAAGAAAAAGAAGAAAATAAGAAGAAAAAAAAGGAAGTAAAAACGAGGGTATAGGTTTTTATATTAGGGTCATCAGTGAATTTATTTAAGAATATGCAGGAATAATTGCACGGTTGTTAAGGGCAACTAAAGTTGCCTGCTGTGAGAAAGCACTGAATTGGTTTTCCTAAATATATCTAAAAATTCTTATTAAAAGTCAAAAAAAGAAGAAATCGACCAGCCATGCCTAGCTAATTAAGATGGTCGGCGCCTGCCTTCTTCGCGATCGGCAGTTAGTCAGAATTTGGCATTTTAATTTCATATTCGTACACTATAGTTAAGTTCATCTGTATTATGCTGGTGAAATACTGTGAGGATTTAATCACACGATAAACCTTTACGCAGTCATTCTGAAAGCAATTCATTGCGGCTTTCGACTTAACTAGCGTCTTGATCAAAATCGTGGTCGTTTCGAGTAGTTTTATTTGATCATTTGTTTCAGTGTTTATCTTTTACTTGCGTCTTTAACAGCAAAAGCAATAATTTATGAAGTAAATTGAACAAATATAAGGCATTACCAATAAACGATTATCAAAGCAGCTTAGCAACAAAACCAATAAAAAAAAAAACATTAAGTACAGCTTTTCTAATTACTATATTCAAGGCTTCAAGGCGAACTGAGAATTAGGTGCAGTAATTAACAGAGAGAGCGAAACCTCGGGGATTTGAGATATTGAATGGGCCAAATAACTGAACAGCGTAAGATCAACAACTCGTGTGCGTAGTCCTATCACGTGACTTCGATGTCACAATGTCTCGCCTTAATATGAGAACACCATTTGTTTCTAAGTTATGTAAAGTGTGTCCATCAGTGTCAAGTTAAGGCAAAGTACACTAATCAATCAGTAGTAGATAAGGCAATCGTCAAGGAAAAACACTGCTTTTACTCGGTAAGTTCTTGGATTTTTTTTTCTACCCAATGTATTCTTTCCCGGCCAATACTGCCTGCAGAACTGGATAATTTATTAATATCATGGTTCAATCACATGATTTCTTTGAAAGCGCTATTGATTGCAAACTGCGTTTTAACGAATATCTCCCAAGCCGGAATATTTCCGATCGAACCTTCTTAAAAATTTTCTTGCGATCTCAGCGATCCATCATTTGACCAGTTGGAGGTCCATCATCGTCGACTTAAATTAGATTAAATTTTTCCGGGTCATTTTCTTAATTCTCACTAATATACAATTGAATTTGACATATATTTTTCGCTGTTCCAGTGGTGTGCATAGTTCTGGATGACTTGTATATTCAAAAAAAGAGGTCTCTTTAGTACAAGCCGGAGACACGGCTGTATGCATGTATTGTTTAACTTTCATTTTAAGGCTATGAATTACCCTTTTTTTTTTAACTAAAATAATTTAAAACGGGTATCTTTTCATTCAAATTTTCATTTCTCTATTTTTTGTTCGTTTGTTGAATTTTAATGATCGTTTAACAATATTACATTTGATATAAAAACGCAAATACAACTAAATGTTTAAAAAAATTATTATTGTGTAATCTCCCTAGATGAGCTTTAAGCTCTTGCAGAAAATGCAGAGAATAAATATGTTTAAATAAAAAAATAAAAAATGAAAAAATAAATTATTACGATAATGAAATTGTGGGTGACAAAAGTCTGAGAACCTTATTTCCATCCAAATTAGGTTAGATTTTGTGTACATTTGAGAGATTGTACTTTGTACATATGCAGCACATATGACACCTTAAATCAGGAACCTTTCAGATGATTAGATCAATCGCCTGTCCAGAAATACATAACCAAAATACCTCAAAAGCTAATTTATAAATCGTGTGATAAGCTTTAACCATTGTGCATTATACATGATTCACTATGTCTTTGTACGTCTGCCGTTATTGACTTTCCCTTTTCTAATGGTCGTTTTTCTTCACCACTTTTCGTAACTATGACGACGACACAAGGTCTAATATCACATATCAATGGAAAAGACTCCATTTCAAAATCACTTAACGAAACCAAGTTTTCAAAAAAAGGCACATACGAGAGAGTTTTGCATCACTATCATGGTTTGTTATGTTGTTGTTATTCTCACTTTGGTTTAATTGTTTTTGTTTACTTGTTTGTTTGCTTGGCTTTTTTGCTTTCATTTTTTGTTGTAGCGGCTGTCGTACTTTTTGCCTTGCTTACTTGCTTGCATCTTAATTATTGTATTTCTTTCTTCCTTTTC